CAGTTTTTTTTTTTTTTTTTGGATAAAAAAAGGTTAATGAGAAATAAAGAATTCAAAATGCTAGGAACCGTGGGTAAGGGATAACAAGAAAATTACAAAGAGGAAACAATATGCTGTTCTAAAAAGAAAAGAGACGTCATAACTGTCTACTCGAGCCATCATACAACTTTTGAATCATAGACATGAAAACCTAACCGATGGTATATTGAGTTGCAAACCTTGCACGATGAAAAAAAAAAAAAAGGAAAAATGTAAAAACTGTGTCATAATTAGATAGTAAAGAAATTAATGGATAAAAAAAGTTAAAAAAAATAAACATCATAATCATTACCAAAATCAAATTATAAAAAAATAATTTAATTATAATAATATACGTTAAAGAACTATTTTAATTCAAATATTTAATTTATATAATAAGATTCAAAGAATGATTTTATATTGGAATATCATTTGTACATTTTTTTTCCTCTAATTATGATTTTTTGGGATTTTTTTTAATTTTATTATTATTATTATTATTATTTGGCAGGAATGGGGACCAGCTGCACAAAAAATCAGAATTTAGCAGAATCATTTTGTTCCCTGAGAAAGAAACAAGTTGAACCCAGCTATATGAACTAAACTAGCTAGCTAGCTAGGTTTTAGATTCCAAATGAAGGAAATCTGTTCCTTACTCTAAGTGGAAGGCTACAAGCTTTCCTTTTACAACAGTATCTTCCCCTAACATTGGTACGATAAAGCTAGTTTATTTGATCCTTTCAGGCTAAACTATATATTCCACCTTTTTAAATTCACTAACTTTCAATTTCAGTTCCCATAGTCTAAAATTTATGAATATCAGTTCTAAAGTTTCTAAGAATCTTCAACTTAATTCTTCCTTGACGTTGAACAATTAATTCCCGAAAACTAACTATATATGGGCCCATTTTCTGAATTATTTCTTTTTTGAATTTTTTATTTTGTGAAAAAAAATTATTTAATATTATCTCGTGTAGGGATTTGAGATGAAAAATTTAAGAGAACAACATTGAAGAAAAATGGATATATTCTCTCATGTTGCGTTGGGTTTAATGAACATGTGCTACACTACAATTTTTTTTTAATAAAAAATAAAAACAAAGATTAACTTAAGAAAATTTCTATTTATAGGAATGGAATTGAAAAATTATAAATTGAATCTAGAGGAGCTAAAAAATAATTTACCCTTATACAGTGCCCAAATAATGATGAACCCCGCCCAGTAAACATTGCGCAATCCTGGCCCATTTGTAATTATATATATGAGAAGCTTTTCCTATGGTATGAATTTGTGGCCAGAGATCATAGGTTTAGTTAGGTTAATTGGTAGGTGGGTATGCTTCTATTTTGTTTTTTGAATATTAGTTTTTTAGAAGATCGTAAAAGAATATATTTTTTTTGCGAATGCAATTCAAAAACGGATGATCTACTTAAAACCTAGAGAATTTTTCTCATTTCTTGTGAATTAGATTGATTGCTATAATAGATAGTTTTAATTTGATTATTTAAACAAAAATCATGCAAGAATACATTTTTGGGTATCATTTTTTTCTTTCATTAGAAGTCTAAAGAGTCTTGAGTTAGCTTTTTTCATTCCATAGATCTTATCCTACGTACACTTCTTAGAGTTTGAAGGCCATTAACCTTACTGTTTATTATCTTGTACTGATTATATCAATTAACGATACTGTTCATTATTTTGTGATTAGGATACCCCTCGTGGAACAAAGGTTACGTAATTCAGAACCAATGTAACCTCTTCTTAGTCAAATTTTAAGTAGAATGTAATTACTCATGTGAATTGTTTTGCATTTCGATAGTAAAAGGTTTCCTGAACACCCAGAAGAATGGCGAATGGCTGCAACGCACCAGGGTCAAGTAATTTGTCTGAAGTTCAAAAATGACCAATCTTCTTCCAGATTGAATGAAGAACAACCTTTATTTCTATTTAGTGCACAACTTATAGATCGATACCAAAAGAAAAAAAAAGGTTCTAATTAATTTTGACAAGCTAGGTGCCTCTTATGATTCATGTTTTCTTGTAAAATTTCATGCTGCATCAGTCTAAAAGCTAAAGTATAGGTGGGAATGGAAATTGATGATATTCTCCATGTCATCTTTGTCGTTGATCATGTGGACACCATATATTTATCCACAAATATTGTTTGCCGGTTGTTTAATCTCTTATTAATTGCATCTTCCTTTTTCTGTGGTTTGGGTGGGGGAAGGAACAGCTTATAGATTGATTGTAAATGATTGAGCTAATAGTCGTCCCCTGAGCATCTTACCAGCTGTTACAACGTTGGAATCTTCGTTATTGCAATTTAACTCACATATAGCTGTTCCTCCAATAATTTGCGAAGGAAAAGAAAAGTGAAGAAGACAGTTTGTGTGACGGCACATCATCTTTTCACATCCTTGTCAAAATACCCATGATAAAAAAGTGAATTGCACTGTACGTGGCTGCTACCATATATATATGTACAAGTGCCTATAAAGATATATTATGGTCAGCCAGACATTGCTTGGAAAATACTATGAAACCTTGGTAGCTACAAATTAAAGTAGCTACAATTTGAGCTTACCCCATCCTCTATGCCCTACTTATACCTCACTCTAATTTTTCCACTGGACTTTCTCCACTGGATTTTTTTTAATATATATATGGAGGCAACTATACTGGACGGGTATTTAGGGCTGGATTTCTACTATAAATTTTACAAACACTCAGATTCAGCAGAGAAGCCTATAGTCAATAGACCGATTAAATCATGATATAATCCCTTCTCCACGGCATTTCATAGTTCATTAGTACAATATTTACCTCCATTTTGCGAACCTTTAACAGTAGAAAATTTGTCTACCTAAATTTCTAATATTTCATGCCCAACAGCACACCGTTAATTTCCAGTCCTTTAACAGCCAAAAGTCTGCCCCAGAATTTCGAATTTTTCTGGCCTAGTAACACGTTCTTCCGTTAAATTTTTGCCGACATCTCTTCCATGTCATTTTAGTGTAAAAAAACATCATGACAAGCCGCGCAATTATTGATACTGTCTGTAAGAAGATAAAGAGTTTGTTAATTTCAAAAAACTCAAAAACAAACAACACAGCAAAATTTTAGAAAATTTTCAAATCGGAAATTTATTAATTGAAGATAACTGACGGCTGAAAACCCAAAGATAACTTAAATAATCTATTCTAAACACACATGGACATAAATAATAATAATAATAATAATCCCTTAAATCTTAAACGAAAAAATAAAAATAAAAAAGATAGATACATATAAAAGTTATAATTTTCTAAATATCATCAATTTAGACATGTTTTGCGAGTTTGGATCATAAAAGAGTACAAAATTAAATTTTTTAGTGTGAATTTTGATATAAAAAATGACTACAGATGACTTTTGGTTTTTTGTTAGTTGCCTTGTGGCTTTTGAATAATTTTTTAAAATTTATATAATTCGCATTAATATGGGACATTCAGATAAAAAATTAAGATCTTTTAAAGAATAAATATGCGCTCATTCATACTGTTTTCTTAAAATTCTACTCATAAACATGATCCATAAAGTCATTATCTAAGTATCCCACTCAATCATGCATCATCCGTATAAAATATATATCTACATATCCTCACACACACTGACACAAACATACAAAAGCAAAGATTTAGAGCCATCAAACATAATGAGCTCACAACACTTGATTTTTACTCCAAGGGTTTAATGCCATATATGCTTGCTCTCACAAGTCACAAGGATACGCACACATTTTGTTTTTTTTTAAGAAAAAAAAAGATACGAACACTAGCTAGTAGCTAACTGTTGAGAACTAATTAGCTAGGTAGAATGTTGTGTTCGAGAATCAAGATAGCTAGTGGAGCCATTTGTAAAAACAATATTTCAACGAGATTTGAAGTTGAAGGAATTAACGGTGGTACAAAGAATTTGGATGCGAATAGCCAAGCAATTGCTGTGAAGGTTCCTGATCTTTCCTTCGTAAACTTGTGTTGCTATCATCAATCTTTTAGGTTTTGTTTGTGCACGCGCTTGGAGAGGTAGGAGGAGACAGTAATGCACTAATAGTAACAGCATATTTTTGTGTACCGACTCTATTGGGTCACATCTACTACTGCTCACTGCCAAACCTGTCTATTATAGCTAAACAAGCAACCAAAAAACCACTCTCTTGTCATGTTCCTTTTAGTTACTTAACTTATTTTAGCTGAGAGACAGTCTCATCTAAACCAATGGAACTATTTGACTCTCTCTCTTCTTTTCTTTTTCTAACTTTATCTACAGTTTTAACTTGAGTTGCTTGCTCTTTTACTGGAAAGAAAATCTGATGATCTGATCTTCTCTTTAAGCATATTTCAGAAATCATCTACCCAATAACTGCAGTCTTTCAACCTTTCTTGTTGATTGCACTCACTCTCTTTAAGCAGAATCTTTCTTCTTCTTTTTCCTTCCCCCTTCAAATTTACTACAACTTCTTCCCCTTCAAATTATTTCCCAAAAAAAAAAAAAGAAAGAAAGAAAGAAAGAAATGCATCTATCCTTCACTTCTCTCTCTTAGAAACCATGCAAATTCTTGCACTTTGATCCGTTTTTCAGAGCTTCATTTAATTTTCACATCAACACGTTGAGAAATTAATCTTATAGCTAACTGCAAAGAGTATAAACCAAACCTTCCACGCTTTTTTCTCTTGAAGGGGGAACAGTATCTCCTGCGTTTGCCTAAAAAACGGAAGCAATTTCTGTCTCTCTCTCTCTCTCTCTGTCCCCCTCTCTTCACTAGGGTTCTTTGCTTGAATCACCTTTCCGTACAAGCAAGCAACAAAGAGAGGCAAAACAAGAGGAAGGAAAAACAGCTAGAAGCAGGACAACCTACAGTATCTTCAAAATCAGCTCCTTGCAAGATCCTGATAAAGAAAGCAAGAAAACCCTAATCCAAACACCTTAGATCTTCATCTACATGGATTTAGCTTCCCCATCAACTAACCCCACCTATTCAAGCCCTGTAATCACCAGCCCCACTATCGGCACCACCACCAGCAGCAGCAGCCCCATTACAAACACCACAGCCACCACAACCGTAGCCGCAACCACATCCCCGTCTTCCACTCCAAGTCGCTATGAGAACCAAAAGAGAAGGGACTGGAACACTTTCTGCCAGTACCTTAGAAACCACAGGCCTCCTTTATCACTCCCTATGTGCAGCGGAGCCCATGTTCTTGAATTCTTAAGGTACCTAGACCAATTTGGCAAAACCAAAGTCCACAACCATACTTGTCCTTTCTTTGGCCTCCCTAATCCACCCGCACCATGCCCGTGCCCTCTCCGGCAAGCATGGGGAAGCCTTGATGCACTCATTGGAAGGCTCAGAGCTGCCTATGAGGAGCATGGAGGGAGGCCTGAAGGAAACCCATTTGGTGCAAGAGCAGTGAGGATCTACTTAAGGGAGGTTAGGGATTTTCAGGCTAAAGCAAGAGGAGTTAGCTATGAGAAGAAGAGAAAAGGCCCAAACCAAAGGTAACAGCAACACCACAATCAGCAGCAGCAGCTCCGACTGATTCCAGTGCAGGTTAGTGGTCAAAATCATGGATCGAAATGAAGCTATATATGTGTGGGTTCATTCACCAGCAGCCTTTAGCTATATGAGGTATATTTTTCTGCACTTTTCTACCATAAAGAGAAGTTAAGTCATATAATGAACTTCGCTTATATTTCTAAGAGGATATGTTGAGATTTGTGGGCACCAGTGGATTTGCCCTTTACGGGACAGCTGCATGGTAATGACCTAGTAGTATCAGCAGCAGCAGTAGTAATAAATCATATGCTGATACTCTTACTAGACTAGGCTATTAGTAGAGATGATGGAAGCTGGTGTTGTTGTACTTGTGGTAAAAAATTGGTATGTATCTGAACAAGCAATCTAAGTACTTGTTAATTAAATATCCTCTTAAGTTTCTTCTTTAACTTACAATTTCACCCCTAATTTTTGGATGAACTTTGGGATTTTTTCCTCATTCTATATCCCTATCCAAGTATCATACTGAACACACACACACACACATAATGTTTTTCCCACTCAACGACTTAATTAATAATAATAAAAAAATTTAAATCGTAATAATTTCTGGTAAGGATATAAGTTTATGTTGAAGGTGAGGTGAGGGATTATTGCCAACACGAAGTAGTAGATATATTATTTATTTGCAGTAATTGATGTCTAGTTCTATCTCAAACAAAAAGCATTTCCTTTTGTTTTAAAAACAATTAATTTCCCTAGCTAGCTAGCAAATGCAATATTAATTCTTAAGGAGTTGTATTAGTTCACTAGCATTATATGAATGGTAAAATTATCAATCATCTAGCCAGGTAATTCGCTAGGTATATCCATTTACAGAAAATGTAAGCAGATCCATATTTAGACAAAAAGACAAAAGCATAGATTCATCTTTCCTAATACTGGTGCTAGCTAAAAACACACACGCCACAATAATCTAGTAAGTAATTATATATATAAGCCCACATGAAGAAATTGTAGAATTTAAATTTTGAGTGGCTATTTCATAATCCACCTGGACCGACATACCTTGGAACTTGATTTACAGCATGAGTGTTTTCTTTTTCTTTTTCTTTTTTCTTTTTTAATACTTGGTTGGTTGATTTTAAATTGTCCTTTGGGGAGTTCATGATTTATGATCACAGCTTTACAGGATTGCTTCATTATTATATTGTTTGAAAAGTTAAACAGAGGGGGAAATGATCTTATAATTTAAAGGGGAGTTGTTTGTATTCTTGTGTAGAAGCCACTGATCATTCAACTGTTTTGCGGCCGACGTCTCTAGATCATGTTTCTTCTCGAGTAGTTAATTATTTTGTAGCATGTAGTAATTACTGCTCCAAATACTAGAGGATAATATCAAAGCTCATTACCATATATATATATATATATATTAACAAGTTAATATATGCCAAGTTAGGTAAGGTGCTTTTTATGAGAAATGTTAGGTAAGATGAATTGATTGCTATTTATTCTAGGGTGCCATAGAACTTGTAATTTGTTTGCATTGGGCTGAACATCCTTCATATTTTTAGGGCTTCTGTGTGCATTTCCCTTCAGTCAATTAATTGCTTAAACACCACCCATATATTGTTAAGCAATTTCGTTGATAGGATTGCTTCTCCTTCATTCTTTTAATCTCTCTATCTCTGTCTTTGGGTGAAAAGGGTTTATGTATTGAGTACATGAGCTATATTTTTAGTACAATGGTATTGATCTTGCATCTGTACTTTAACCAGACCATAAGTATATTGTAATTAGGACTTGAGGTATATTAAAACAAGAGATAGAAAATGAGTTTGTAGCTTCAGTGATACTTTCATATAAGTTAAAAAAAAAAAAAAGAAGGGTGAGATTTCATAGTGTATATTAATCAAACAAACAAAAAAAAAATGAGTTTTTGCTTCTCACCTTTGCCAATTCATCAAACAAAAAAAAAAAAAAGAAATCTATCCATATAAATATATTAATATTTTTTCTTGTTTGTGTTAGAAAGTAATATAAAATCATTTCTAGAATTTCATTAAATTTTTTTTAAAGAAATTGTTAAGTTAAGTTTTAAAAATTGTTTTATATTATTTTCTAGCTAACAGCTTGCATGTTCGTATTGCTATTATGTGAAGAATGCTTTAGCACTTATCTATCTCCCTCTTTCTTATTTATTTTGCCATTTATACATGTTGCTTCTTCAATGTATAATGAGCATATAGATTGATCGATTTTGTTACTTGATAACAAAGACACTGAAAATTTCCTAAAATCCTGTTTTTTATTTGAACCTAAAATCCAAACTTTAAATGCATGTTTAGGTCTATGTCTTCTATATACCAATCTAAAGAGCTTTCTTGATACAATTCTCTTTGATAACCAACCTTGTAACTTAATTTGTGTTTTGCTATGCATGCATGAAGGAATTTTATGAGAAAACCCTGTAAAAAAAAACCTAAAATGAAAAAACTTAATTTGGTGGACACTGTTGTTGTCTAATCAACATATCATGACATGTTAATTCAAATGCAGAATGGTACTTTCCTTTCTAAATATATTTGTTCTGGAATATTCTTCTTTAATACTTAATAGCATACATCATTGTTTTATCATTTCTCTTTTCTGAATAACTTTTATCTTTTTGCTCAAATATATTGATCGTTGCAAATTACTGGAAAATTCTGTTGGTGTCAACTAGGCTCTGGCATTGTTAATTTAGAGGACTATTTACATAATAACAATCTGTTTGAGTTTGCAAATTACTGGAACCCTTGTGAGAACTACTTAGTTGTGCAATGTCTCATAGGAGCTTAATTCAATTAAGTTGAAGGTTAAAGATTTGCTTTGAGCCGCACGTAATTGTCTGTTTACTTATCTTCGGTCTTGAGTGCCAGTCCCAAATTTTAGAAAATTTTGCAATTTGGTACTAGAATTTCAAAACATTTTAATTAATACCTTTTAAACTAAGGCATATTGCATAGAAGGTACAAGATTTGCACCCCAAAAAATTATTTATCGTCTCCGTTGCTTTCATTTTTTTATTTTTTATTTTCGAATTTTCTTAATGATTTTTTTTCTCACTATAATAATGTATGGTGTTGCAAATCCCCTTAAATTGGTTGCGAAGCCAATCCTAATAAAAGTGGAAGTGGATTAAGTTATCTTATCACATGAGGTTTAATATCTTTTTTTAAAAAAACTACAATTTTAGTGTATAATTTTTATTTTTATTATGTTTAAATATCTATTTTTTTATTTTATCTATTTGAATTATTAATTTTTGTTTTTTTACCCCCTATTTGAGTGCATTTCAATTGTCAAATATTGACATGGGCAGCATGCACTTACATATGGCTGTTTTGTATTGACACATTGCAAAAGGTGAGTTTTACTCGAAATTATAGAAAACATCAATTTCAATATCTAACCTTTGATTTTTTTTTTTCTCTATTTGAATGTCTAATATTTTATTTTATCTATTTGAGTGATTAATCTTTAAGTTTTATTTATTTATTTAAGTGAATTTCATCACTTGTGATTGTTAATTGTTGAAGTGCTTGATATCAACTAATATGTGAATATTTTGTTTTTATGGAATCGATAATTAGTTTGAAGAAGCTAGCAAGGAGCTAACAATAAAGATTATAATCAAACTAAGAAGTCATTGGACTTATACAGACTAGACTTAACTAAAAAATCAGCTACGAAGTTCCTTTTCCTAAAAACATAAGAGAAAGTGACATATTTTAAATACAATATCATTTAGAGATACTCTAAAGTTTCTAGGACTTGTCAGTTAAAGTTTATGAATCTAAGAGATAGCATTAACCAAATTAGATTCGACATTCCAGTTAAATTAAAGAGCTAAAAGCGAAATATCACTGATTTTCAAAGCTTTATGAATAGCCAATGTCTCCATTTTATTAGAATTTTTTATTCCTGTAGGAATAGAAAAAAGTACACAAGAAATTTTTACAATGATCTCTCAAAATACCACTTATAGAAGAGTTTCTTAACTTGTCCAAAGAAGATCCGTCCACATTCTGTTTCAAAATGCAAATAGGTGGACTAATCTGGTTAGCTGCTATCTTTGTTTTGATCGAATTTGACTACATCTTAACACTTTTAGAACTTCAAAATAACTCAGTTCCTTTATAACCAAAATGTTCATCTATAAACTGAATCCAATTAGTAACTCTATGAAAAATGATAAAGATTATATTGCCCTAATTTTGCATGAAATCACTGAACATAAAATCATTTCGAGCAAACCAAATTAACTCAAGTACACCGTATAGAAATAAGTACCAGATCTTTTTTTGCAATCTACCATTACTAAAAAATGTGCGAGTAAGAAACATATCATTATCCATATATAGTACCTGAGATTACCTAAACACAACCTCGCCATTTAATTACTCGAGATCATAGTTTTCAAATTTTATTGCAGTTTAACAAAAAGTGGTTTGGAGACTCATTGTAGCACTTGCAAAATAAACACAAGTTTTCCGCAGTATCAATAATTTCTCTTATAGCTAAAAAGTCTCCAGTAATCAATTTTTTCATTATCGCTAGCCAAGTAAAACATTCTACTTTAGGAGGAGCCAAATTCAACCATAAATAGGACTTAATAGGTGGCTCACCAGCTAGGAGCAAATTATCGAGTAGAGAACTACAAGAATGAACAGAGAAAGAGCCCTAGCTTACTGTTATAAGACCATATAGTTCGGTCATCAACCTCCTTGCAAAGATAGGCAGCGAAAATTAAATTTAGAAGTCGTTGTTCCATAGAGATCTCACCAAACCAAAGCCCTCTCCTCTATTTGAAATTCCAAATCCAAGAAAAGAATCTCACAAACCTATATCAACCACCATACATTGTTTGTTCTCAGCCAGCAAGTAAATGGAAGAGAAGACATTTTTAGGAGGAAAAGATCCCATTAAAAAATTCATCCAATAAAGTGTTGAACAACCATTAC